AGTTTCTTAACCTGTTTGATTTATGTAAATGTTACCAATTGAAAGTCCATTCTCTTTTTTTCAATATCCTATAGACTTAGAAGATATCATTGAAATGTACTTGGTATTGAAAATATTTATCAGATTGAAGAATATCATAAAACCTAGATGTTGTCGAAATATTAAAATATATGAAATGGCAAAGTGGTTTGATTTAATGATAACTATCAATACAAAAATCAACAATACTCATCATTGATTATCCCACCGAACGAAGTTCGAGGGGGATATAGAGAAGCCGTCCATATGAAATCAAAAAGGCAGCAGACCAAAAACAAAGAGAGGACAAGGAGTCATACTGGATAAAGAAATTCAAATGTGTACACCCATACGGATTAAACAACAGACTGGAGAAAAATCTTCAGCAAAGAACAGAAGATGATGTAATATACAACGACTTTGATAACAAACGGAAGAAGAAAAACAAAAGGCCAAAGGGAAACCACCGTAAAGAAAAGGCATTAAAAGCCAATGACGTATTTGAAACTATAGTGGAACAAAGCAATGGAAATGTACTGGCAGGTATGAAACAATCTTGAGATTAGTCCCACAAATGAAGAAGACAGAATTGAAAAAACTTGGAATGATAAATATAGAAGATAATGATAGACTACACACACGACTTAAAATTACTCTGGAGGACAGAATCCAATCAAAACTTAGGAAAAACAATGAACTAAAGACCAAGAGTAGGAAAAAGAAACCAACAAAATTCTGTAAAATACTATTTGAAAACAAAGCAGTAGAAGTAATCAACATTGCAAATATCTTAAGAGATGAAGAAGTGATCAAGACAATACCTTCAAGTATCAAAAATAAGGAACCACCAGGAATTGTCTATATATACACAAAGCCAATAAGGAATAAATTGTTCAACTATAGTGAGATTACAGAAAGTATCGACGAAGGCAACAATACAGGAGAATGTGATTGTAATACATCTGAATTTAAGGATGAAGACCATGGTCACGTCATAACAGGAAATCTGAAGATTATACAAAATTCAAAATTGAGAAAGCTATTTAGTAAAGGTCCTGGCTATAGAGAAAAACGAAACATTAACTTCAGGAAAGCAAAAGAAGAAATAAAGAAAGGAATAGATGAATATGCAATAAGTTGGACAAAAAATGAAAAAGTTTCAAAAGTATACTTAAATGAATGGAAAAATACTGTAATGGAAAAGGTTAAACAAAAGATTGAGTTACTTCAAAATACAAAATTTAGACATATTAAAAATCCAAAGCAGACACTAAAGGACCATAATGCTATGGAAGAACTCAATCGACTCAAGGAAAAATATGCCATTGTACCTATTGATAAGGCAGCAAATAATATTGGGTTTATGTGCAAACAATACTACATAAAGACGATTAAAGAGGAAATTGGGAGTGACACCTATCAAAGGATAGAAGATAAAGGAGAAGAAGATATAGTGGAGGAAATCAAAGAGACAATGAAAACAAAATTCAAGATTGAACCGGGAGAAGAACAAAATATTATACCAAGGATTCATCTTACAATTAAAATGCATAAACAGCCAATTAAATTTAGATATATCATTGGCTCAAAGAAAAGTTCTGTAAAACCAGCTGCCAAAAAACTGACCAAAATTCTTAAACTAGTGCAATATACTAACAAAAGATACTGTGAGAAGATTAAGGATTATACAGGTGCCAATAGGATGTGGATCAGTGACAATAACCAAAATATGTTAGATAACATTAAAAGTGTAAATTTAAGGAACGGGGCAAGAAACATAGCCTCGTATGATTTCTCTACACTACAGGGTGATCAATAAATAAGGTAAAAGTATCTGGCATTTTGTAAATATTGGTCCAAACATCCTGAAATTTGGTCAGAATATACCTTGTACATTTCTAAATTAAAACATATAAATATATAACTTCTGCCATTTGATTGGTTAATAATATAGTTACTATGGCAACTGGAGTCGGGGGTACCCGGGGCAATTTCATTGCGTCCAATTTGAACAAAAAATGATAAAAAGTTCATCTTTTTCAAACTGAAAAGAAATAAACGTGGGTGCCAGCATTAATTGTTTTAATACTTTGTTTACATTATTACATATTTTCTTGCAAATTTGATGTTTGATGTCCAAAAAGATTAATATATAATGAAAACTGATGTGATCATAGAAAGTCTATGACACAGGTCAATGATGAAAAACAATACCCATAGAAGAGATTTGATGAGAGAAAAGAGGAAGAAGCTAAGACTAAGAGGCGTGCAAAACGTTTCACATTGCACTGGGATAATGCTCCGTCTCACAATACTATTCTCACGGTTCAAACCATTAAAGCACTGGGTTTCCTACTGTTAGGTCATGTACAATACTCTCCTGACTTGTCCCCTTATGATTTTACCGTCATGGTGAGCTGAAGAGGGAGTTAAGAGAGTTTCTCATGGGATGACTTGAAGCCAGCTGTCTTGAAAATTTGCAGGCTATGGGAAAATGGATTTAAAAGGTGTTCAAAGACTGGAGTAGAAGACATGGACTATAATGTTAAAAACAAAGGACATTAAGTAGCAGATATGAAGTATGAAATAAGAATATGATATGCCATTTTAATTGTGATTTGAAATATATTATCAAAAATGTTTCGACTGAAAATTTAGTTTTTGATAGTTGCCCCGGGTCTTCATGCTTTCTGTTGCTATGGCAACTATAACTTCAACCAACCACATCACTTTGATCTGTAACTTAATATATCAATTCAATAATGTTTGAACATTATTCTGTGCAAATTTTATGAGTATTGGGTAAAATCTGAAGAAATGCCAGATACTTTTACCTTATTTATTGATCACCCTGTATACACAAAGATTAATCTAACTGACATAAAGGAAAAACTGAAATGGGTGATAGATAAAGCCTTCAGAGGAGGAACTAACCAAAAGATAACAGTAGGTGGAGATGAAGCCAAATGGGGTGGAAAGGCGGATAATAAAAAGGCATATACCAAAGGAGAGTGTAATGATCTAGTGGATTTCATCGTGGATACAGCCTACTTTAAAGCAGGGAAATCAATTCTAAGACAGAAAATTGGAATACCAATGGGAATCGATCCGGCTCCATATATGGCAAACCTATACTTATACAGTTATGAATTTCAAGCCATTGAGAAAATGTATAGGGAAGACTACTCCAAAGTACTAAAGTATGCTAAAACTACAAGATTCATCGATGATTTATGTACTATAAACAACGACGGAGAAATGGAGACTGATATGAAGAACATCTATCCTGAAGAACTAGTGTTAAACAAGGAAAATGAGAAGGATACAGAAACAACTTTTCTGGACATACAAATGAAAATAGTAAATAAACAAATCACTACAAAACTATACGACAAAAGGGAAAACTTCAATTTCCAAATAGTCTCATATCCTGATCTATCTGGAAATATTCCTAGAAACCAATCTTATGGAATATTTATATCACAAATAATAAGGATTTCAAGAATCTGCAGTCAACTGGAAGATGCAACAAACAGAGTTACCAGCCTGGGAAATAAACTACAATGTCAAGGCTACAGGAGCAACATACTAAATTCGTATACTAAGAAAGCTATAACAAGAAATAAATGGATATGTACTAAATACAATATGCAGGAGAATATCATCATGAAGGACTGGAAAATTAATGAGAGAAGAGAACATTAACAAATGAATATGAAACAGTATCTTCTCCGCAAAGAGGGTAAACTAAGAGGACAAATCAGCATAAGACCACCAACAGTAAGGGGAAGGGGAGAGTTTTCCGGCCGGATCAAAACGTTTAACCCACCTATGCGCAGTCTCAAGTCTGTGGACCCTGAAGAAAGATAAGTAACATCGCAATCAAATCAAGACAAAGAAAGAAGAAAATGAATGAAGAAACCAATGCAGCAACAACAAATGACGTCCGTCCGTTCGTTCATTTGTCCGTGTGTCCGGGCGATAACTCCAATACCGGTTGACGAATTTGGTTCAAATTTTATAGGCTTATGCCTTATGAGTGTAGGACCTCTGCTTGAGAAGGAATTTTCAATATGGCCGCTCAATTCAAAATGGCCTCCATTTTTCGTAAAAAATGTAATCGTTGATAACTCAAATACAAGTTGACGGATTTGGTTCAAATGTTATATGCTGATGCCTAGGGACAAAGGAGTTTCAAGAATGCCACTTAATTTCAAAATGGCGGCCATTTTTCGTAAAAATATGTAATCTTTGATAACTCAAATACCAGTGAACGGATTTGGTTCAAATTTTATATGATAAGCTTAGGGACACAGTAGCTATGTTCGACAAAAATTTTTCAAGATGGCCACTAATTTCAAAATGGCGGCAATTTTTCGTAAAAAGCGTAATCTTTGATAACTCAAATACCAGTGAACAGATTTATATGATTATGCCTAGGGACACAGTAGCTCTGTTCAAGAAATAATTTTCAAGATGGCGGCTGAATTTCAAGATGGCGGTCAATTTTCGTAAAGAACATAATCTTTGATAACTCATATACTAGTGAACGGATTTGGTTCAAATTTTATATGATGATGCCTAGTTCACAATGGTATAAACTAACTTTGTGCCAAATTTCATGCTTCTATCACAAAGTGCACAAACATTTCAACATGTACACTAGGTATAATAAGCATCATATGTTTTGTATGGTGGTATTTGCTACTCCGTGGAGTTGCTGTTTTTCTAGTTTTGAAATCTAAGGTGATAACAATCAATGTTCCCTGATACCAGTGAATGACTATGTAGCATGGCCCCCACTTGACATAAATAAACAAACTTGCATACAGTATATGTACATTTTGATTGCATGATGTTAGTATACAGAGACAAGTAAACACTCACCCAATGGCTTATTCGTATTTATTTGCATTATCCACATACAATCTATGCAGAAAAGAATATGAGGTGTATTTATTTTGTGCATATTTATTTTTCAGATCTATTCCAAGGGCGGGCTCTTGTAGTACTCAATAGGGAATCAATTCTGAAGCTTAGAAACATGAGAATGGTAAGAGTACCTTTTCTATTTATCTGGATTTTTTATCTACTCTTAATGATACTGTGAAAGAAGAAATTGCACCAAATGGTGACAGGAAGAAATTACACCAAATGGTGACAGGAAGAAATTACACCAAATGGTGACAGGAAGAAATTACATCAAATAGTGACAGGAAGAAATTACATCAAATAGTGACAGGCTGTAGATTGACTTATTAAATTATTTTTACTATTTTAAGGGATAGGTTACCCAGCCCATTGCCAGGTATGGTCAGTATATACTGACAGGTATACTTTCAGTCTATACTGACAGGTCAACTTTTAGTCTAGTTTCAGTATACTTTCAGTATATGTCCCATGTTATGATTCCATTGACAGGTATGTTTCAATTATGGTAATTAGACCTACCAGTATGGTTTCAGTATACTTTCAGTATAAACCAATGGGTATGCATTCAGTATATACATACCAGTATGGTTTCAGTATAGTTTCAGTATATACCAACAAGTATACATTCAGTATATACATATAGGTATACTTTCAGTATGGTATCAGTATATACCTATAGGTCGACATTTGGTCTATACTGACAGTCTTAACATGTCAGTCTGTAGACTGATATGGATGAATATGACTCTATTAATGAGATACCTTAAATTTAGATCATTCTGCAGATGAGAAAAATTAGTACATGTAATTTGGATAGCAGTCTTATTTTCTAGCATTACATTATCTAATTAATTAGATGCAGGATTATGAAGACTTCTAAAAGACAGACCACAAATAAATTAATATTCTTATATTAACTATATTCAAGTTTTGTTCATGATGTATTTTTGATGCAAAGTTTTAATTTTCAAATTTTAACTGTATTTCTTTTTTAAATTTTACTATGACTGTATCTTTCATATCTTTCTCTCATTTTTTGTGTTTTCAATGTATAAAACATTCAATGTAATTATGAGCAGGAATGCTCCCCTGCCACCTAGTCTGGTAGGACAGGTTGTGGAAACAAATGGTCATAAAATAGAACTTACATATGAATAATTGTTGACTTATAGTTTTATCATGAATTTTGCATTTGCCGTTTATATTATAAAATGATAAAGTAAAACTGGTATACGTTCAGTCTAATCATTATTTATCAGAGTTTATTTGGTATGCTTTCAGTATACTATTGAAAATCATAGGTAAAACTGGTATGCTTTCAGTATATTCAGTATTTATCAGAGTTTGTTTGGTATGCTTTCGGTATACTATTGAAAATCATAAGTAAAACAGGTATACCATGGTACTTTCAGTATATTCAGTATCTTCATACCTATTTACAGATCTATATTCAGTATATACCTATTAATTGGTATGGTATCAGTCTGGTATCAGTATAGACCTATCAACAAGGTATACTTTTAGTATACTTTTGGTATAGTCTGACTATACCTGGCAATAGGCTGGGTAGTGTCAACTTTAACTTGGGGCAAAACTGTTATTTTCATCTTGGCAAAATTACCACTTATCCATGGTTCACAACTAGGGTTGAAAACTTGATTAACACAATTTACCAAATTAGCAATCAGTCTGTCACCCAACAGGCTACCAGTTTTCCAAATCCATTGCTTAGAGTGAAAAGTGATTGACTTTTGAAATAGGGCATTTAGAACCTGGCACTTAAAACAGCAATGTAGCAATCTGTGATAAGCACGATTGGAAACAATGGGACCTGTGTGATATGAATATAAAGATTTCAATTTGATGCAACAATTCCTCACTTTATTTCATCTCCGTCATGGGACCAATGCTATCTAAAACAACAAAGTTCCAACCCTATTGATTAACCTTGAGAATGGGTAACAAATAATTCACAGATTGTTATTTTTAATCAACCAATTATTCAAATAGAATAATCCTAGTAAAGATAATATTGGTATATAGACTAATATGTACTTGTTTTACTTTTTAAATACTGTTGACTGTTTTTGGAATATTACTCTCGAGCATTAATTTCCTATCCTTTACAAGGGAACTAATTTCCAGTCAAAAAGTGCAGAATTTATTAGACAGTCAAAATTATCAGGAAAGGCACAACTATTTTTAGCCATTTGGGAATTAGTTTGATATCTAAAATTGATTGCTAATGACAGAAAGTTTGATATATATGAATGAGTTATATCGCTTATTTTCTATTTTATCAAATGGGTAAATGGAAAATTAAATGCTTAATGGAATTGAAGGATAACAATTAATTCAATAAATGGTTTTCAAGAGAGTTCCATTTTTGATCACCAGATGGTAGTATAAGTACAATAACATGGGATTATTTGAAAAAACGTAATACAAGACCATTTTTTCTCCTAACATTTTGTGTAGTGTGCTAGGCCCCCTACCTGGCTCTGCAGGTCTTGAATCCCATATTTTCAATGCAGTTATTGATATTATTTTAATGCTATGCATGTAGTATGAAAATACCCATGTTAAGAAGCATGCATGTCACAAAGTTTTGAAAGTGCTCTGAAATCTTGATGGTACCATTTATAAATGAGACTCGTATTCCTTACAGTACATGTAAATTAATTACAATTCACATTTAAAGACCCATAAAGGTTAATCAATTTCCTTTAACTATTGCAAATATTTTTGAAGCTGACCGATTTAAGATTATTGGGCGAGAACAGAGTTTAGTAACTTGAAAAACATATTTTAATGACTAAATTTTGATATGCTATATGATTCATATCTTGATAGTACAAATGTACATTGGGTAGACAATATCAATTGTTAATCATTGATCAAGGCCATTTTCCATGTAGAGGCGGTCAGTCACCCAAAGTAAACCGAAAGCCTATTATATTTCATTGAAGTTGACTATTGAAATTTGTTTTGTCTGGATTTATTGGTAAATACATGACAATGGACTAATCTGATTTTCGACTTGTACAATACAGGATTATATCTGAGTCAGTAGTCAGGTCACATTCATGTCTTTGTAATTTTTGAGGTTTTGCTTAAACCACAAGGTTGAGGAGGTGTTCTATTGGTAGACCCCGGGGGGTTCACTCCAAATAATTTGGGTAGGTATGTGCAGCACGGTCAATTTTGGCTTTGAGCATAAAATATGGAAATTGGTGAAGCTGAGAGGAAAAAATCATGGAAAATTGTCTTACAAAGTACCCTTTTTAAGTCAAAATTCAGTTTCTCTATTGAAAATTGTATTAAATTCGTTAAATCTGTTGTTGAGGCCTGGAACAAATCACTAGAAAAGTTGATATTTTAGTCATGTATACGTCTCACAAGAAAAACATGGAAACCTTCAATCTTGAGAGGAAATTGACATGGAAAAAATGCTCAAAAAGGGGGTCTTTGGCGCGGCACATAGATATTAAGAAGTCCATTGGAGTGAACCCCCCGGGTGGTAGACATAGTAAAACAAATCATTTGGCAATTCACTTGGAACTTTGCAAATGGCTCTTGTAGAGGACTACTTTGTAGAATAACATCATGTCCATCTTAAAATTCTTAATAGATATACAATGTCCCCGATGGTAGACCATGTATACATCAGTTAGAGCATGTTCAGATGTAAACTCAATTTTATTAACAAACATTACTCGTTAATGAAATAAAGAATAATCCTATTTTGCATCCTGGTTACCTCAGATAGAAAGGATGGAGGGGGTGCTCCCATTAGATATCTAACTGTTGTGTCCTCGTTGAATGACAAAACCATACTAAAGACTGTAAGCTCAAGTAAAATGTTCGGAATAATAAGTACACCGAAGCCCTGTAATATCTGTATTCTTTTATTTTTCTTACTATGGGGAATGGGGAAGGAGGCTTTATATAGAGGGTCTTGATGGAAGGTTATGAAATAAAGTGTAAATCTTGTAATTATAGATGAGATATTAACCGGATTGTTGAAAATTCTTTGTTCAGTTTAAAAAGATGGCGCTGTGAATATTTGATTAATGAATATGGCTGCGACTTGGAAGTTTGATTTTGTGTTAGCCTCAGTGTAACTAGCTTCGTGAGTTTTAAAAATTGGGATTAAAGTTGGCTCCTTGACTTTGAATCATAAATTTTCAATACATTAGTATGTCACATTGACCTTAAAATTGATTCAGATGTTCAAGGACGCCAGTGTTTTAAACTATTAATCATCTTGAAGGACAATTTCTTTCTTTTATGTGTTAAACTTGAGTGTATATAATAAACCTTTCAATGCAAATATATTAATTCACAACTTTAACCTTAACATGTGTTTTACTCTCGTTTTAGCTTGATGGGTCTTTTTATATTCCTTATTACAAGGTGACATAGCACACATGATCTTTCAAGAACAAATTTCATAAAGCCCAATTCTTAAAAGAATTTTTAGAATAGCTTTTGGACATGTTCATCTTCTAGATGATAATGAAAAGGTAAAAGGTAATGCCTCATCTATTACAACATCTGTACATATATTAATGCACGTTGCAGTAATTTTAGTAGGATGTTTTTAAAATTTAAAAAACAAGACAGTTGATGGAGTATTAAGGAATTTAATCCACCATGTGTTGGAATTTAATTTTCAGATGTATCATGCAGACTGAAATACCTGAGTCAAAACTATAATCTTGATTTACAAGAGGACATTTGCATGATTACGTAATTTCTTTTTCAGATGTAAATCAAAAGTAGGAACTATTTCTTTGAAGCAATAATCCATGACAATGGAAGGCGCAATACAGCTGCACAGTCCTGGCTAATTCTCCACCTCTCTAGGCACTGACAAGCCCTAGGAGGAAAATGTAAGTAAAAATTGATAAATACAATCAAGGGTAATTTGAGCACCAAGACATGGCTGGTACTCTGTGTTCACATAGATATGTTCAGTAAAGTATAATGAATGTGACCCATTTGTTGAATTATTGGTTATTTAGTAATTTCAAAACCTCATCAGATCTCCGTATTGCTTGTGAGGAAGAAGTGATGAGTATCAGAATGCATTCATGTAAATCTAGCATCATTTGAATGCATTTGAGTCAATCAGAATGGAGAGTATGAATTCATGAGGTAATTGGCCCCGGTAATGTGACCATTTAGCAGCACTCAATATCAGCCATTTCTTGGACTCTGGTTACCATTATGGTAGTAAAAGTTCAATTTAGCTTTAGCTCTCTCCCCCACCAGGGGATCACCAAAAAATTTCAGTTTTCAGTAAGGGGGGGGGTTGCAATTGTGGCATAAACAAGCCAAAAATAAGATGAAATAAAAAGCATTTTAAAGCTCTTTTCTTTTTCTGTCTCATGGTTCTGTCTCTATTGGTCATGGGGGGGGGGGGGGGCGATCACACTCCTGGCTACGCCTATGCCCACACATGTTGGATTGTTTATATGTTAGATTTTGTTTTTGGATACAGACGTATTGACTTTTAATCAGTGTTGGCGTTAGGGACAAAATGTTATGTGATAAAGAGGACTGAGGTCTTGCATCAAGTCCCTGGATCCCCTTGATACTACACATTTGTTGGTGTGATGTGCATGTATAAGGGCATATAAGGGTGGTCAGAGGGGCTTGAAGCAAAACTAAGCTCACTTCAAATTGGAAGTAGATAAGAGGGCAGGGTCCAGGGTCTTGAAGCAAGACTATTATGTGTTTTTACTGGTGGTAGAGTGTCAAGTCACTGGACCCCTTCGGCACCTCTCCCATATCATTTCTCCATTGTTTAGTTGATGTGTGTAGTATAACTGAACTGTATTGTTGGCAGTTTTATACTTATTAAAATATAAGGGCATGGACCATGGGGCACAGGGTTTTAATACATCTTGAGGCTTGTACCAAGCCCCCTAAAATATTTCAACCAGGATAATTTTGACCTACCTTTTACTCGAAACTGCTTTTTGAGTTACATTATTTTCGTTGAATTTGAAGTTTTGTTGAAATTGTCACCTTTGGAATCAAAACTGGCAAAATTCCAATCTCAGCTGAAAAATCAGAGCCCCCTTTTGTTTTAAATTGTCTACAAGCCTGGGCCTGTGTTTGTCTTATATACATGTGTGCTACTACTACTTTCACAAGAGCAACATAGCATGTATATTGGGAGGTATTTGTAAATGGGAGTGGTTGAAATCTTTAACCATAGACTTAAGTCTGATTTAGGGAGGCTTTTAGGAAGACTAGCGCTAGCGTCAAATTACATGAAAAATTTATAGGCAATTTCTTAATTCACTTTAGCTGTGCGGACAACATTACAGTTATTGTATATTCTTAGAAGTAAGTGATCTGTTTGAAGTTTTAGGTCAAACTGCTCTATTATTACAATTTAAATCAACTCGTGTCAATGGTCATTTTCATTAATGATAAGCAAAAGGTCATCATTTGTATTCAAGAAGTGGCCTGTGTCCATGTAATCATTAATCTCTCTGTCATTAATTCCCTTTAATATGGGTATTGGATGAAAGTAGATGCTATGAGTAAGTTTCATGCATAAGCCCGTAAATTACCCAAAATCTAACACATTCCTAGTTTGTAAGATCTAATGTTTGAAACTGTACGTATTCCGAAAGCTGTAATTAGCACGCAAAGATATTGATTTCTGAAGAATTTCCATGGAAAACAAATTATGTTTTTCTTTTAATATGGAAGAGCATGGTGAGCTCATCTGGTGAGTTGGCTGGATAGAAATAATGTTCATTTGTTCAATTAGCGTATTGTTTCTATTCACAAAGTATCCTTTGCATTGACTTTTGTTTCTTAGCTTTTTAAAAGGTAGCTTCATCTGCACTCTGAACTGCAACTTTTTCTTAACTTTTCAGAGGTTATGTTAGAACTATTCATAAAAGAATAAAGGAGAGACTTCATGGACTAGCATGTGGCACTTGGAAATACATGTAGATCAGATCAGGTTATTTTCATTCACAATTCACAAATGAGTACAAATAGAGTTCCGTGTGGGTGCAAGGCTATTTTTATTAGAATCTAAAGTGAGTTCAGTGTGCAGTCTTACTTCAATGGCAGTCATCGGTGAACACTGGGTTGCATTATATTTTTCCATACATTGGCCCATTAAGAATATGTGTTCGTTAGAAAATTTTCTATGCCAGAGCAACAATGTAGATGTGTTAATTTCATCGTGGTCCCAGTGAATACCATTCACAGCCACAGCCTTACTCATTCATTTGCTAAGAGGGAATGACAGATGAGAATCTACTAGTTAGTTGTGCTCTTTAGGATAGAGGGTGTGTGTACTAATTAAGATCATTAAGAGTAGTAGAAACTGGCTGGCGTTTCACTCCCTTTATAATGTCATTACCTTTTTGATTGGTATCATTGTAGCCTTTTATTATAATGTCACATGACTCCCTCCCACCAAACAAGTTATTTTCCTCACAAAGAAGAACTTCCCTATTTAGCATCCTGAAAATAAAACATTCCATTTTACATATACAGTATATGCATCCCGATTTTAATACGCATGACATCTCTTAGATTTTCTACTAGATGAAGCTCTTTTAAGACTTAAATCAAACTAAGATTTAGAAGCATTAATGTGAGAGATCACAGCTTTGTATCTGTTCCTTTTTATTGCAAGTTCAAACAGAAAGATGTGATTTGCATTAGAATGAAGAGACGTAGCAACTGACAAGAAATTAGATGACATCCAGGTTTATCTTGATTGAATTCTGAATTAACATGCAATTCCGAATTATCTAAGTCAGAATTTCGACGTAATATATGCATTACTTTTTGCTTTCTTCCTTATGATATTACTCGATGAAAAATGAGTCAATAAGTCTTACATTGATCAGATTATTTTTTTATGATGAAGAACGGATGGTGTGTGTCGTACTTTGATGTATTGAAGATTTAGTCCTGCTACCTACTTTTACACACGGGTAACTAGAGTATCCGCGTATATTGAGTATGACCGGTTCTTAGGCTACGAATATGACCTGTTTTGTTTTCATGAGAGGCACAGCTGCTTAAAAATGGAAAATAAAGGTTAACTTCTATATTGTCCTTTTTGAAATTGTTTTTGTTGAATATAGTTTATGCTGTATTTAATAGTAATTTAACAAAAAAATGTTAAACATGAGCTATTTTAGCAATGTAACTGTTCATAATGGAATATCAATCAGAAAGTACAGATTTCTCGCCTTAGAGCCAAATCATTAATATCACAGTAGAAAAAAACAAATCCCAAACCTTTTTATGGCTAACCTGAACAAGATCTCCAAATCTCAGTTTATATGATCCCCCGTAGAGTGAGCAAGAGAAGGATTTATCTTTTCCCAGAGGATACGCTTGTGAAATGTCATGGAAACGAGTGTAACACAGCCCACCGATTGTTTCACAATCGTATTCTCCAATAATGGGGCACCAGTGACATTCGTATTCTCAAAAATTCAAAGATGTATCATATTTGGACAGAGCAGGCTAAATTATTTAAAATATTCATGACTAATTCGTAGATCTAGCTATATATTATACATAAGATGTGTCATCCTCTTCGGAGTTGCGTTGTGTTACACAAAAACTGATCAAAGATGCTGGAAACTAGGATTTTACGGCTTCAATCTAATATTAATACGTTTTCTCTTGATTAATGCCCCTTGTGATATGCCTGGCATTATAAGTATACCAAGTATCATTCATTGACCAAGTAGGATAAAAAGAAAACGTTCGAAAGTGTTCATAAAAAGCAAGTACTCACCTCGTCTGTTTATAGGAACAGAAATACGGTCACACTCGTAAGCTTAGAACCGGTCATACTCAATATACGCGGATACTCTAGTATCCCGTGTTACAGGTTGTAAGATGTCCATTGTGTTCTAGCCCCTCAATATGCTTAAAGTCCCCGTCTAAAGTTTGAAATTTTTTTTTTATCATTCATTTACTATTTGTCAGGACTTCAAAAGTAATTTTAGAGATTTTAGAACAAAAAAAAAATTTTGATAAAAAAGTTGTGAGCATTTCATTTCTCAAATATTCAAATTTCCCGCCATTTTTCAAAAAAAGTTGAAATTTCTTAATCATCAAATATTTCTTAATGCATTTCAAAAAAGATTATCTTTTTAACACCAATGCAAAGATTGAACAAAGGACACACTATTTTAATAATAAAATGCCATATTTAATGGGCCACTTCAATGTTTTAGCATATCAAAAATATTTTGAAACATTAGTGATGTCACTAAGGTACCAAAAACTTTTTGAAATAATAATAAATAATAAATTATGTTTTAGATATCATTGTACCATTGGTTTCTATGAGAACTAAAATTTTGAAATGCATTTTTCTCAGAAACATTTTCATGCACTGATAAGTTCATTTCTCGTTTATTTATGAACCGATTTTCTTAATTTTTTCGGCAAAAAACATGGGAGGATGAATGCTATGCATTGTTATGAATTGTGGCTAATTAGAAGATATGAGTGACCTCTAAAAGTTGGTTTTAAATAAATTCACAAATTTTGGAACAAAAAGTCTATCAAAAACCACATTTTGAAATTTAAAAAAAAAGTTTCACATATCACACTTTGATAATATTGGGTAAGACTACAATATAAGCCAAAGTGGTTTAAACTTTACATGGGGCCTTTAACTAAAGGGGTTTATTTCTGGTCTGAAGGCTTTTTTCATCTTTTAGGACATTATTGATTATAACAGCATTCTCTTCATTTTGAAGCCGAATGTTCGATTTGTGGAAAGAAAATACTGTATGTTGAGTTTGGTGATTAGGCATATTTCTAAAGCATCTTTCTAAGAGTTTTTATGACCTTGACTCTCTCTCTATTAGTATCAGTC